AAGAGCCACCAAGTGTAATATAAGAAGTTGTAAGATGAGAAGCGCAAAAGCTGGCAAGCCGCCTTTAGGGAACCCTCTATGGTACCTCGGTGACCTGCCATGCCATGCTGATGGTATATTATCCTGTCACTTATAGGCGGATGTCTATTCCGATCGTCTTATACGACAAAGGAGCCGGTTGCCTCCCGGCTCCTTTCCATCCCCAATTTTCCCCCTCTGTCTTGCTCTGAAGCTGCTATTGACTTTGCCTTCATCATACCAGCACCCCCTCCTCGCTATCGGGAAAGCACCTCTCCAGCAACCTCTCACGATGCCTCACAAGAGCAGGGAACTCCCGCAGGATCTCCGACAGCGACGCATCCACCCACCCAAGCTCCTCGTCGAGCAGGAGTTGCGTGTATGAGAATACAGACGCGTCAAACAGCGTCGGGCCCTCGCAGCCAAAGAACCACTCACCACCACCCTCTCCCCCTTTTCCCGAGATATTTCTACTGCTGCTGTTCTCCTCCAGCAACGCAGCAAGAGCCTCAAACGCGGCGCGCGCGTCAGCGTGTACCCTCTTCACATCCACCACCGCGCTCCTCGTGACCTTCAACACCTCAGCCTCGGCCGCCGCGCGGACCTGGTGTGCGAGCGTCAGCCTGACGACGGGGTTCTTTGACGCCGGCTCGATGTAGAGCCGCGACAGGAGGTCCGCGTTGGCGGGAGCGAGGTAGAGGGCGTGTAGCCAGGCGGCGCGGAGGCGGTGGTCCAGTAAGGACTGGTAGGCTTGCTCGCGGGCCTTGAGCTCCGCATTTGGCGTGGACGAGGTCGAGAAGGAGGAGGATAGCACGGGTAGCCTCTTGAGGGTTGTGTTTTCTAGCGCGTAGGATTCGAGTTTCGAGGCGCCGGCGATGGGGCGGAGAGGGGAAGGCGGGAGGAGGTAGGGGAGAGCTCCCGAGGGGGAGGCGTGGTTTGTTGAGGGGGCGATTTGGAAGTCTACACCGGCGATTTTGAGAAAGGTCTGTTTGGGAGGGAGAGGAGGTTAGCTGGATGTTGCGCGCAAGAAGGAGGACAGGTATGGGGGACGTTGGGGATGTCGCCGGGCAAGAGGAGGGAGATATCAGGACGAACCTGCCACTTTAGACACGAGGGGTTGAAGCTCGGTCGGCCCCTCGGGGCATCGTCGTCCGCGATGAAGACGTATAGTGTTGGCGTGTCGCCGCGGGAGGGACTGCGGAGGGGGAGGTCGTTGGCAGGGTAGACGGCGAGGGGGAAGCGTCGGAAGAGGGCGGCGACGGGGGCCGGGACGGCGAACCAGCTTCTCGGGGTGCTGTCCGGCATGATGGCTGGCTGGCGGCAGCGGCGGCGCCGGACGTGGCTTGCTTTCGGCGAGGCCGGTTCGGTCGGTGATGAAGCCGGGCAGGAGTCCCGGGAGTGGATGTGGTTGGAGGGATTTGGATGGAACGGAGAGCTCCCGTAGTTTGAGGCGGGGAGATTGAGCCCGAGGGGTGTGGAGGTCGGATGTCCGGTAGAAGGAGCTCGGCGGGGGGGGGGGGGGGTTGAGCTGCGGGATGAGATGCAGAATGAGCTCGGGGGTAAAGATGTGGTGCCGGTGCGTGGCTGGTAGGTGTGATTTGCTGCTCTGGGAGCAAGGGGAACGAGTGGGAGTGCGGCGTGCGGCGTGCCTCGGTCTCGCGGAATCGCGGAGCGGCAGGTTGTAGCTACCTTACTCAGACTTCAAACTTGGGCCTCAGGTCAGGAAATCGGTAAAGGCACTGGTACTCTACAGCTCGTGGTTTGGTTGGTTGAGTTCAAAGAAATTTGATGGAGACGTCTATGTCCCGTAAGGTATTCGTGGGTTGTACGATTATGCCCGTCACGATGCGCAACTTTCTACACCGCCCATCTGTGTGTCTTCGGAGCAATTTATCGCTTCTCCATGCGAGATAAGGGGTCTTTGCTCCCGAAGTCTGCTTTCCCGCTCCTTGTCCTCCTCAATTTTCTCGGCGCATTCGGGGCGAGACAGGGGCACAAAGTGGATGGAGCAAGAATTTGCTACCTTAGTGTTGCATGAGGGTTTTTATTTCTCCTTCTCGCTGCCTTTCCCACTCGTGAAAAACCGTAGGCATGGAGACGTTGAACCGTGGACCGATGGGCCATGGACAACGAGTGCATGAAAGGACGCCCGTTTGGTGGTTTGGATAAAGCTGCCGGGAGAGCTGCACCTTTTCTGCAGCCGTGTCCAGCGGCCGTCCAGTCAGTTACGGATACTCAGCTGCAGCTGTGGGAAGACGGAGCGGGTTTGCGGCGCCGTGGATGGACCCTGAATTTCTCGCGACATCCTTGTCTTTGACTGTACGCCTCTTCTTTCTGAATCTGCCCTCGTATCGTCCCCGATGCAGCTTTTGATGAACACAATCATAGTGTACAGTACAAAGTACGGATAGTGCTGTTCGAAACTGCTGGGTGTCCGTACACTACAGCGGCGGGTCACTTGGGCAGACAAAGTCCCGGTCATCAGACTGGGAGAATTCCCATGTGTCACTGGCTGGAAAGGTCATGGGAATCTCGCTCGAATTCCAGAGTTGCCTGCCCCGGCGGCGGCGATGTCGGCGTGCCCCGGACCTTGGAAGAACTGCCAAATGATAGCGTGCCCTCGGTCGGTCAAAGGTGAGTGGGTGGCTCCGGATCAACCACGGTGAATTTCCCAGATTCGAGAGGCCTTTTAGCGGGCGGGGACCTCAGGTTCTACGTCTTCTTCTCCGGGGTCGCAAGGTGACCCTCGGTACTTTCGGTCAAATTCCTCGCCCAATTTCCAAATGGGCCTCTCCTACCGCCGTTACGGGTTTTCCGCCCCTCGACAATCCATCCTCGACGAGTCGACAGCACTACTCCGTACGGCTTGTCACTTTTGACGTGGTTGCAGGAAGAAAGCTGACCCGCCCGCAGGAACAATGCCCGCCACGGCGGGCAATCACACCGGACAATGCCCGGCAAGCATTGAGCCATTCCTTGAACAGTTGACAGGAGCCAGACACACATCAGAGAACCATGACGGCCAGGCACAGACAGAGCACTACGTATTGACATGCCAGATGGAAAGATCGCGCGACTCGTGCAGAACATGCAAGTGTATGCGCCTACGCCAGCGCCGACGCTATTATGGAGGGGAAGCATGGCCCATCGATCGATTCCATCCCCCTCCACACCTCTTTTGATGGCTCTGGACCTCGATGGGCACCTCGTTCAATTTGGCTTCGACGCTTGCCGAGCAGCTCCTCGGCGAGTTGACTCAAACACTGGCGAGCTAATCGGAAGATGAGGCCGTCTACCACGGCGACTACCTTACACTGGACATGCGTTGCTACCAGAATTTGAGGTTGACCTGCCACTGCCTGCCTACCTTACCACTGCTTGCCTAGGTAGCTTCGACTCAAGCTGCATGGTCCCAGGCGATGGGCTAGGAGAAACCTTCCCAATCCAAGTGGTTTTCGACTTATTCGTCCGAGACTATGCTGTTGCGCATTTGGCTATTTGTACTCATGCTGTGGAGGACCAGGTTCCGAATGCTGCGTCCCAAGATTCGATGTGAGGGAGGATCTTGATCCAATTTTTGTCAATCAGAAAAAGAACGCACAGGGCATTCAGGCAAGAAAGAAATTTTGCCATTCTTCGGCATATGGATATTGTACGATTCTCGCCCTTGGATCAGAAGAGAGTGGTCCAACATGAGCATCATCCTGCCGCGGCCTGTGTTACCTCCCGGGATATTCTCATGCCGAAGGTATTCCGAAGCCTCGCATTTGGCTGGAGCGACTCAGCAAGAACGTTTTGGCGGGGCAGCCGTGGGGAAAGCATTTTTTTTTCCCTCTTCCAAAGTGGGACACGTTTGTCAAACGTGGGAGATCTCCGTCCCGAGATTTTCCGTTGCTTGAGACCAAAGCCCACTGCCCAGAGGGCCCCCCCAGACGGGAAGCATGCCGCTAGGATGAAGCGAGGTCGGAAAACCAAGCGACGGAGGGGCGGACATGCACGTTCGACGGTCGCTCGAGACGAAGAAAAAAAAGCTACGGCGAGGCGCCGAAGAAGCTAGCTGTTGTGTGGGGTGGAAAGCCTGGAGAGTACCTACCACAGAGAAAACGGATGCGCCGTCTACTGCGTACATCGTTCGGTTCTTCTTCACATGTCTCCACCGAAGCCGGCATCTCCTAGGATTCTCGTGGCTCTCGATGGTAAGTGTTGGCAGCATGGAGTTTGATGGACCAAGTTCAAGACCAACAACAACCGTTGCCACCTCTCCAGCCCCAGCTTTCTTGCCTTACGTGAGCATCCGTATCCACGACCACGCAACATGAGGAGCAGCGGGAAGCCCAGGCAGAAAAGTCTTTTACGGATACGTCAACCACCAACGGCCTCTGCGCACAGCCATCTCTCTAAAAGTGAGGCAAGAGGTGCCTGCTCAGCCAAAGAGGCAAGAGCTGACGAAGACGATGGCTTCAGCCTCCATCAATTGGAGGGGTCAACGGAAAAGGCAGAGGGGCAGATGGGGGAAATCACAAGCACAATGGAAAGAGGCGTTTTGAATCAGGAGCCACCAGATATTCCGTCGTTTTGAGTTTCTTGCAATCGCTCGCAGCTTCCCCGGCTTTTCTCTTTGTGTTGATGGAAATGTTGGAACAAGTCGAGGCTTGTGATTCCCCCCTCCCCTCCTCTCCTAGAGTGAGGTTTCCCCCGTAATCCCGTTCAAGATAGAGTTCAGCCCGCATCAATCCAGCACCGCGAAACCACCTCACCTTACCTTGAGGCTTGTGCATGGTGTTCGAACAGCAGCAGCAGCAGCAGCAGCAAGAGGCACAGTCGTTGCTCTACAACATGACCGCCCAATCTACTCTAGCCCATCTCTGAGGACCATCCTCCGGGGCGGGATACTACATCATCCTACTCGAGCCTGTGATCGAGTATCTCGCACCGCATCGCATCGCATCGCATCGTCCGCTTCCGCCTGCGTCTCTCAGTCATTAATCCGTCCATACGCCGGAGAGGATAGACATTCCGCTACGGGGCAGGCCAATATCCATACTGTGCCTATGATGGACGGGCCTTGATGGACATGAGCACACAGGCTGGTACGGATAGCGCAATCTTGGTCCCCAAGTGGAGCAGAGCATGTCATCGTCGGGCTGTTCTCTCCCTCGTCCTAGGCCGAAATCGAACGAGGCAGGGCTTCCGTGCATTGGCTCTTGAGCTTCTTTCCTAGGATCACGCAGCCAGGGGCAGTTTGATGCGATCCAGTACCATGCGGAGAAACGGCCCAGAGTCTCTCGCTGACGGCGCATCAAGGGAAAAGCAGACACGCAGGTACCGATACATGGAGAGCGGAGGCCACCCCCATACTTCCAGCCCAGGCCCATTGTGACAACCTGCGCCCCCCCCCCCCCCTTCTTCCCAGAAACCAGCACCAAGGCACGCCGCACCATGACATGCTGCCTTTTTTTTTTTTTTTTTTTTTTTCTCGAAGAGTTGGCTCGACGGATACCTACCCCACACTGCAAAACGCTCGACGGCGAGAAGGCCGACCTCTCTCCTCCGTTCCCGCCGCTCAGGATTCACCCATTCCACCCTGTCAAGCACTGTGAGCGTGTTCTTCCGAACCTGCCACAGCGGTCGCTCGAGCCGCTGATCCGCAAAGACCCTGAAAGCCTTTTGGCCTTTGCTGAGTCGCGAGACGAGGTGCAAATCCCCTTCCCCCCCGGCCTCAAATGGGGGAAGATGTACCGGTACTTGGCACATGGTGGTCCTCAATTACTGCTTTTGGCGACGTTTACCGCGAGGCTTTACGCCTGACGCTTGTGCCTCTGCAAGTACCTCCCCGCAATGACAAACACCAGGTCAAGCAGGCTGCTTGGGTGTTGATCTGGCTGGGCCATGCTGGGGATGATGGATAAGCATGCGTCGTTGTCTCCCTGACGATGCAAAGAGAGGAAGCCGAGGCGATACGGTAGGCGAAGGGATTGAGGAAGAAAAAGAAGGTAACCATGCAGACGGCGGTTCGGCGTCATACCAAGCTCTCGCTCACTCTATCCACCTCCATCTTCGGACCTATTATCGCGGCTCCAGGACTTGGTCGGGCCCAAGGCATTGAGCGTCATGGATTAGACGGCGGGAAATAACGTGAAGACGTATGGAGTATCGTCCCTCTTTTCCCCCCTTCCCTCTCAGTCTTGCTCTGCTCAGCGGGGGAGAGGAAAGGAAAAAAAGAACTGGAGATAAGATGGATTCTTCAACCGCGGCTACTCTCCGTAACCGTGTACACTCAATACTTTGGCAAAGTAAATAACCCAACCCGGACAGCCATCTCGGTCTTGCGTCGGTAGATGGGAAAAAGCAGACGACACACACTCGCGCGCACACACACACACACACACACACACACTTGATATTCTCTTTATCCTCTCGACTCGCCCACCCCCAAGCTTTCTTCCTGGCCCAATTACCACATTTATCCTATCCCTCCCACACTCCTCCCACACTTTTAATTGTTCAACCACACCCACCCACGCTCCTCGTTTGGATCAAAAGCAAGTCAACTGGACAACCCGCGAACCAACCCCAATCAAAGGCCAGCCCATCACATCATCACTCGCACACCCACACAAACCCGCACGAGCTGTCTGTCCTCTGCTTCGTACTCCGTACACAATAGACTACTCGCTCCAGCCTTCTTTCGGTTCACAATCCTACATACACTCAAGCAAGGAAACGCTGCTGCTACTACTCCTGCTACCCACACCATCCCGCCTACCTACCTACGCAAGCCTGCGTCGACTACCGACTCACACTCGCCTTATTCCGTCCTCCAGGCCTGGCTCAGCTGCTACACACTCGAACGATATCCCACACATAAGAGTCGCAACATCCCTCCGCGCCTGACTGTGGTATCGCCGATCCCCCTTCTGCCTGTCTCACTTCTGCGAATCACTCTCCCTCTCTCTCTATTTTGCCAAAAAAAAAAAGAGAAACTAAAACTTGGCCTGCCTCCCGCTCGGTTATCTGCCTCTCACTCACTCGCTCGCTCGCTCAATCTATCCACCGACTCATTTGGCCTTGTTACCCGCTGCCGGAGCAAGGGTTGGTAATCCGCAATCGCGCCGAATTCCAATATTGCCCATCCAATATTGTTGCAAGCAAAGACAAGCGGTCCCGCAATTATAGCCTGTCACCGACAACCCAGGGTCGTCCCACGATCACTTTAAACCAGCCGCCGGCCTCACCCACACACCCCACGCCTCACGGCATTCCCGCTGCTCGTTACTTGGTCTTAAGTAAAATCTCAGACACCACACGTACTTTTCGTGTCTACTCCGCACTCGCCGTCGACTATCTTTCCTTTTCACAAAAAGGGATCTTCCGCACCTTCACTCTTGTCGGACTTTTCCCATTCCACCCTTCTTAGCTTCTTGATCCCGCCTTTCCCTACTCCCCACCCCCCGCCTGACATCACCTACTTTTCAGGTACCTGTGCTACTTGGGTCTCACATAAAGAGTCAAGATCTGCACTCCGAAATCGAAGATCTGGGGAATATAATACCACCAACCATCCATCGCCCCCTTCTCCGACCTTGGTTCCTGGCCCTACGCAGTAATCATCCCACACCTAGATACTCCAACCTCCTCTCGCCATAGCGAGAATCCTATCACAACCACAACAACATCTAGAGGATCATCACCACCCACCACACACCGCCCACCATGAACGCACCAATCCAGTCCCCCAAGCGCCAGGACTCCACGTCCTCCATCTCCTCGTCGTCGTCGCACATGTCCACAAACCAAATGATGGCGCCACCCCAACCCAACGGCCAGCAGCCCCCTTCAACCGAGGCCTTCCTCCGCGACTTCACCCTCGTCGCCGAGGCCGCAAAACGTGCCCAGATGGCCGTCATGATGCGCGACTTTGAGTCTTGCGGGCTCTCATAGACGGACAGCGCATCCTCTTCGTTCACGCAAAGAGAGAGTCCGAAAGCGACCGAGCCTTTCCCATCGTCCCGGGAAGCTTTTTCTCCAACTGGCTCAGACCGCCATTTTGAGGAACGAATACTCCGAATTTCATCGGATGAGAGGACCCCGCTGAAACGCTGTTACGGGGCCGAGAGGGAAACCGAGGCACCGCGCCAACGCTTCGCCGGAGTCGGGGCAGAGGGGGACCAGGGCGAGAGAGAGTTTGCCGTGTCATTGAACCGACGACACTGGACTCTCCTTAGCTCTTCTTCCCCTCACCAGGTTCAATCGCTGGGAGTGGCCTTCCTCGGTCCATCTCTTTCCCTGCCTCTCACTCACTCCCTCTCTCACTCGCGTTTGCTTTTCTCCCGCTCGCTACACAACATTTAATCGACATTGAAGTCTCTGGGGAACTCTACATGGTTTCGCATTTCTTCTCGGTGATTAGAGGCGGGGATAGACAAAGGTTCATCTCATCGGCTTCATCTCATTGGGGATTTTCTTCATGATAAACACACACGCAACCACACTACTACATATTCACACAACAACCGGCGTATACGGAACAAATGGGGGGCATCATTGCATTGCGGGGAATTTCGTTTTGATATCACGAATACTTTGGAAAGGACACGACTTTTGGCGTTTTGGGAGGGAATGACTTTGGGCATCTACCACGACCCGGTCGAAATGGATTCCGCTCACCATTTTTTATCTACTATTTTATTTTTTCTGTACGAATACCATTGAGGAGGACACATGGTCTTTCCTAGATTTTGCTCTACACGTTTTATCCTGAGAGAAATATGGCCAGTCTTATCTGGTCTTTCCCAACACTGCCTTTGTGTTACAGATTTCGGTACATTTATTGTGATACGGTGCCAATGATCGGCTGCCATTCGCTCGCATATATTCCTTCCATACTCTCGCCATGACCCCGAGCTCGGGGGGAAATGAACAAAAACTCTTTACTGCAATTCCCACTCTACCAAATCCTACCGTCCCAAACACGACCCAAAATCCCCCATCTCACAACTTGGAAGCCAACACGATCCCGCCGTCAACAGTAATCGTCGCCCCCGTCACAAACGCGCCTGCCCGTCCGCTCAAGAACAAACACGCGCCCGCGACATCCTGCGGCGTCCCGATTCTCCGCATCGGAATCTCCTCTTCAATGGTATCGCGCATCGTCTCGAGCGTGGCGGCCATCATCTTGCTCTCAAACGGTCCGCAGGCGAGCGTGTTGCTCGTGATGCCCTTGGGTCCGAGTTCCCTCGCCAACGCGCGCGAGAGGTGGTGGAGGCCGGCTTTGCTCGCGCTGTAGGCGTACGAGGAGATGAGCGGGACGCGGAGGCCGTCCACGCTGCCGATGTTGATGATGCGCGACGGGTCACCCGCGCCCGCACCCGAAGCGGCTTCGAGAAGGGGCGCGGCGAGCTGGGTGAGCGTGAAGACGCGCTGGAGGTTCAGCGTCAGGAGCTTCGTCCAGGCCGCGTCCGGGTACGTTTCGAAAGCGTCGCCCCACGCGGCGCCCGAGTTGTTGACGAGGACGTGGAGTTTCCCGCCCGTTTGCTTGGAGAGCTCGTCGACGAGGCGTTTGCAGTCGTCTAGCTTTTGGAGGTCGGCGGGGATGGCGTAGCACTTGCCGGGACCCTTTTGCGTGAGGGCGGCGGCGGAGGCGGAGCAGGCTTTGGCGTCGCGGGAGGAGATGTAGACTGTTGCGCCGTTTGTGATGTAGCCTTCTGAGATCATGTAGCCTATTCCTTTCGCGCCGCCTGTCACGAGGATGTTTTTGTCCTGTGTGTGGGAGAAAGGGAAGGCGTTAGCTTTGTGTTTTGTGAATTGGATTTCGAGGCAGGAGGAGGAGGAGGAGGAGGAGGAGGATTTGGGATAATGAGGAGGACGAGGGCGAGGGAGCTTGGTGTTTACCTTAACATTGAAGAGCGATGCGACGTCCATGGCTGCTGATTTCCTACTATCTCCTGGGGATAGGTCGAGTTGTTTGCTGCAGCTTTGCTTCTGGCACAGGTCAATCGTCAAGGTGGAAGCAAATCCATTCAAATTCGAAAGAGGACCGAGAGACGTAGATGTAGGAGGATGAAATACAAGGGTACCGGAGCTATCTTCGGCCGGTGTGAGAAGGAGAGAGTAGCTTTCGGGGTGCGGTCGTCTGAGCTTCCCCAGTTGCGAAAATGAGCCGAGGCTCACGGTCGTTTGGAGGGGTCTAGGCCGAGGGCGCGTCCCCCCGTCCCCCGATAAGGGGTACATTATGCCGTACCCCGGACTGCTCTGCGGGGAAAGTACATGTCATCTTTTTACCACGCGACATCCAGGAAACTTCAATGTAGAGATGCAGATGCGACGTTGGGAGCTTTAGGTTTCCTGTATTGCCTACATGCTGTGTATGTGAGGCTGCAATCTTGAGCTGAACTACTCAACGTGTCCTGTTCCATAGCTCACGAGCCTCGCATATTGTGCATTTCAGTAATATCGATTACTTACTTATTTGCTCAAATACCTCAAGGAGGGCAAAACTATGCTAATCAAACAGATATGCCTGTTCGTCTCTACTCGACTATCCCGTCTGCCCAAAAGTCTATTGTCATGGTCATCCGATTAACCCGCAACCACCAACGCCATTGCTCAATTTCAAATCCTTTGTTTCGTGCCGGCGACCAAGGGGCTGATGCTACCGGGCTCGAGGTCTCCTATGCATTCGCTGATATCGATGGTTCATCCACATAAGAATCCTGGGTAGCACACGCACCATCCCAGCACAACCACTTGAACGAGGTCGTACGATGGACGAGACCGCCAAAGTCACCGGTGTTCCTCCATGCTCGCCGACATGATATCCCACATGTAACATTACCTACGACGTCGACGACCTCGGGCTGCGCTTCCTCATAAAAGCAGGCAACCTCGACGGCTTCTCGCCACTCTCGGTCGTATTGGTCGTCTTCTCCGGCGTGTTGTTCGCCCCACCGGCAGCAGCAGCGGCAGCGGCAGCCTCCCTCTCTTTCCTGGGCGAGCAGCAGCAGCCCATGGCCATGTGGAGAATGGCGGCGAGGTCGACGAGGGCGCTGGCGAGCCACATGAAGACGAACATGCGCACGCCGAGGACGGCGTTGATGTTGAGCTCGGACTGCTGGGTGAGGGCGATCTTGGCGCCGACGCTCATGACGGTGCCGATGATGGAGGCGACGGTGACGAGGAGACCCGTGATGGCGGCGAAGATTGCGATGGGGAGACTCCACCAGCGCGAGCGCATGACGAGCGGGGTGACGATGAGGAGGGCGGCGGCGAGGGAGATGCCCGAGATGAAGAGGCCGAACATGACCTGCTGGCCGATGCGGAGGATGTTGAGGATGGTGCTGACCTCGGAGGGGAGGGCGATGGTGGCGCCGGCGAGGAGCTCGTTGGTGAGGATCTCGATGGGGTTGAACCACCACATGCGCTGGGGGGTTGAGCAGAAGGTGACGCCCCTGGTGATGGTGAGTTAGTAAACGTATGCTACTAGGGATTTTGCGTGTGATTTTGAACTCACTCATCATTGTAGCCTTCGCAAAAGTTCCAGAGACCGACTTGGTAAAAGTCGTGGAGTCCCAAGCTACGGGCTACGGAGTTGAGGAGGACGGCGTTTGCCGAGGAGAGCGGGATGATGTCGGAGACATCGAGTTTGAAGAAGTAAATGTCCGTCAGCACGGGCTTGATGGAGGTGTTGCCGATGATGACGAGAATGAGGAAGATGATGGCGATGAAGTAGCAGACGGCCGCGGTGATGGCGCTGTTCCGGCGGACTTTGGCCATCGTGAGGGTCTGTATTCGGAGCTTGAGCCTTGAAGAGGAGGAGGGGGAGGATGATTGCGGTCGTCGTAGGAGGGCGGAATTGGAACCGGAATCTGAGACCCGGGGATGATGGAGTACAGTATACGGAGAATCGCCTCTTCTCTCCCCAGATATCTCACGTAGATGCGTGGGCGAGGGCAAGATGACGCGGTCAGGTATCCGGAGCTCTTACTCTAAGTTTGCCAATGATCCGGAGAGGTGACGAGAAAAGAGAGAACTGGATACTCGGGGGATGCGTCCTGTTGAGCTGTCCAGGCGCGGCCGTAGTCAAGAAAGCCGTCCGTAATCCAAGAGAATTAGGCGTAGACGTCTCGGGCCAAGGGGCTATGGTGCGAAAAAAGGGATTCGGCCCTACGTGTGCAAATAGGTTGGCGGAGCGGAGAGGAGTCGGGAAGCCAAAGAAGTGCCAAAAGACGAATAATGACGATGAGCGTCTGGAAGCTAGCTCGGCTGATCGAGTCCACTCGGCAATTTGTGTCTGAAAGATGGGAAAAGGAACAAAACAAAATGATTCCAGACCAGGCCAGGCCGTCACAATAGATTCGATGGAGTAAACACCCCCCCCCCTGGACTTTGGAGCCCTGGTGGTTGGTAAATACGGACAGGGCGTCAAAGACTCAAGGCAGAAGCAGGGCCAAGACACCGGAGCCAAACCTGGATGGATAGATGGACAGATAGAGAGACGAGAGAGGATAAACAGAGCAGGACGGGTCTGACTGAGTTGGCATAAACCCAGGCGTATCGCTGTTCTCCGGGGGTTGCTTTCTGCGTACACAGAGGCTGAGGATGGTCCAGGTGTTTGCATGGGTCACTGACAATCGGACAGGGAGGATGACGTCGTAGCAACCAATATCTTTTTTTTTTCTCTCTACACTATTTTTTCCCTTTCTTTCTGCTGCTGCTGCTGCTGCTGCTACTTTTCTGCATTGGATCATCCCAGCGTTTTTTTGCTAGCGGCGCGCCACGGCTAGCGGGTCCGTAGGTATCTTACCTTAGTGGGACTCCGCTGCCTCATTCCAGGTTGTGCGGTGGGTCCATCCACCTCATGTTTCCAAGCTCCCGTTCATCTCCATTTCGTCTCACTCACTCACAGTCGCTCATCTTCACAAGTTCACAGTCTTATCACAGAGAAGAACTCAACTCAATGAAGAGGACACACAGACTCTCTCAGGACGGCACAGACGGATGGAGTACAGTAGTGAAGAATCATCACCGCAACATCATGGCTCACCTCGGGGCTACTCCTCGGGGCGTCAAAAGGGGGAGACAGAAAGAAAGAGACATCAAGTCCCATGGCACCGCCGCGAGATCAGGTGTCCGTACGTCAGTACCATTCTCCATCCAGAACAAGATCCCAAATGCCTTTCAGTTTCGGGTCCCGAGGGGCCGTCTAAACGAGGTTCGCGCGGCCCCCATACGGATACCCGCAACCACCACCGTGACCACCCCCATCCCATCTACCCATACTTCGTACAGCACCGCCCCCAAGCCTCTGTCGACGAGTCCAGCCAACCGGGCCGTTGTGTCACTCTCTCCGCGGGCGGGCGATCTGTATCATTCTGTGGGCATCTGTAGCCACTCCTCAGCTGAAGTGGGATCATCACGGTTGACAGCGGTTACTCAGCGCAAAAGGAAGTTCGGCAAGCCACTCGAAATGCAAATTGAACAGCAACAACTCAACAACAGCAACAGCAGCCCAACCCATGACCCATCAGCAAACCAGGTGCGTACCCAGAGTCAGACGCCGGCTGTGTGAAATGAGATTTCAATGGGTGGATTGATGGTTGGGTAGGGCCGCTTCCTTGTTGCACCATCGACCCGACTCCCGGGCCCCGTACGGATGTCCCCCGTCCCGCCTTGTGTCTCCTGCAGGCTGCACCTCTCTTCTTCCTATTCGCACAGAAAAGATAAACGTGTATTGTGCTCATCACTTTGACATGGAAGTTGATGCTCATCGCTGAGGCATATCCAAGGAGAATGACCCACGGAGGGGGGTGTCGAGGTGTTTCTCTTCCCAGGGACCAAGTCACAAATAGTTTGAAAATTCCCCGTCGTAGCATCCAAGGGTCACGATCCCAGTAGGGACCCAGATAGATGCCTTGACCTACACAAACGAAATGAGGATGGGCGGCAAGTGTTGAGCCTAAAACTCTGTTTTTTTTTTTTTCTGTTGCCCTTTTTCGATCTTCCTGATCTACCTCTCAGCCTCAATGAAGATGGTCATCGATGACCATTATCATATTCTTTTTCAGCTTGCCGGATCTTTGTTTTGCAAACATGACGAACAGTTTGGTTTCCTTGGATTGCTACCAGACAAAGGCGCGTCCAGCAAGGCCATCCTGCACGCGCGTCCGTCCCCGCCACGCCGGCACAGGAGCCGGTGATCGCCAGGGATATCCGTATACCGGTAGGGCCCCCGGTCCACGGTTTTCTGCGTTGTCCTTTGCCGCAAGCCACAGCCGCAGGTATGCAGTGGTACCGTAAGGTAGTTCTAGTACGGATGGGTAGATGGAACGGCGCGTCCATGACTTGACCTGCTGCCCATCTGTTGTATCGGGATTGTTGGTTGGGGTTACTTCCAGTCAATATTTCTCAGTCTCTTGACGACCTCTTACCATGCCAATTATCATCACCTGCTGTTATGAACACTACCAAAAAAATGTGACAGAGGGTGCAGTGACATGACTGCGTGACCCTGTCGAGCTGGAGCTGCCGATGAGATGACCAGCAGGGACCCGGCACATCCCCAGCGATCCTCGCAGCAGCTTCCGGTGGTGGTGGGTCCGTCCTGACGGGGCTCTGTGCTCCTGGTATCCACTACCTACAGGCTGTATGGGGCCCGGTACCCCTGCCAGTTTGGCGGTAGCGCCGTATGGGGCCTGGGCCACCACCCCTCCAAGCCTCCAAGGCGTGCCGCAGGCCGCAGAAAGAATGTCTGGGCCACCCCGGGAAAAACGAGGAAGAAAATACACAAATATTATGTCATAGCTGGACGTAGCTGGACGTGTTTGAAGTCTCGACAATTGACTCCAAGGTCCAAGGAAAATAGTCGTCTCCTCTAGACTCTACACTCTAGAATCCAGGCTTCTCGTTGCTGACTGGCGCAACATTGGCAAACGACCGCACCTTTCCTCTCTCATGTGAATTCTCGACTTTTTCATTCCGCCTCTGCCGTTTGAGACGATTGAACAAAAAAAATACTAGCCACCCTAGCGTGCTTCTGCTTTTCGGCGGTATTCTGCTTGGGGATCGTCATCGAAACTCTCCTCGTCCGATAACCGTTTTTGGCTTCTGTCTCCCGTCTCCCGTCCCTCGCCCAACTCAAATTTCTTTCCCCCGAGGGGCGCACCGTGGTCACTGCGTCTTGCAGCCATCCCAGACTCCCAAAGTCTACTCCCAGACCTCGAATAACATACATCCATATCGAGCCCGGAAAACCACCCCTACCTTACCTTACCTTACCTTACCATCCATTCGAGAAACGACAACAACAACAACACCACGACTTCCCTTCCCTTTCTCGCGGCCACTCCACCATCAAAGTCCTCGCCAGAGAGGCTGCCTCGCCCAGCATGACAGGACCTCTCTTTGCCCTCTCCCTCGGGCTCCTATCCCTCTTCACAGCCCAGGCCGCAGCTCAAGACCAAGTCAGCACGAGCACCTTCACCCTCTCCAACACCGACGACGTGACCTTTCTCTCGGGAACCAAGACCGTCGCAGTCACCCAGCCCAGAACCCCAACGGGTCCCTACGCAACCTACACCTCGAGAATCACCCTCACGAATGGAGACCTGTCCACCATGACCGGGACCATGACGGTCACCGGCAACGTCACGCAAACCACCACAAACTCCGTCGGCCAGTCCGTCGTCATCATCTCGGGCCAGACCTCCGTCGTCACCTCCACCATCACCGGCACCGATGCCAATGCCACCCAGACCGAGACCGCACCCGCCGGCCCGACAAACACCCAGCCCTGCAACAACTACGTCGAGTTCTGCGACCGCAAGTACAGCAACGTCACCGAGGTCGGGTGTCACAACTCCCCCTTTGTGCGCCCCGGGAACTCGGCCTCCAACCAGGCTCTCGATGTCACCACCCAGCTCAACGACGGCATTCGCTTCCTCCAGGCCCAGATCCAGTGGCCCACGAATGGCACAGTCCCACACTTTTGCCATTCTTCCTGTGATATCCTCGATGGTGAGTTTTCTCACAGACAAGCTTCATCCTCAAAGAACCGTGAGCTAACAGTACACTACAGTCGGCCCCATCACCGAATGGCTGACCACCGTCCGCGAATGGGTCGCCTCACACCCGTACGACGTCGTCACCATCCTCCTCGGCAACGGCAACTACTCCACCCCGGACCTCTACGCCCCCTTCATCGAGTCAACCGGCATCCTCCAATACGCCTACCAACCCCCCTACCTCCCCATGAGGCTCGAGGACTGGCCCACCCTCTCCCAGATGATCCTGGGCGGCAAGCGCGTCGTCATGTTCATGGACTACATGGCCGATCAGCAAAAGTTCCCCTGGCTCCTCGACGAGTTCTCCCAGATGTGGGAGAGCCCCTTTGACCCTATGGACCGCACCTTTCCCTGCACCGTCCAGCGCCCGCCCGACCTGTCGCAGGAAGCCGCCCGCGACCGCCTCTACCTCATGAACCACAACCTCAACGCGGAATACAACATTTTCGGCGCCTCCATCCTCGTCCCCGCCGTTTCGTTGTTGAATTCGACCAACAACGCCACCGGCAACGGGTCCCTCGGCGGCGCGGCCCAGAACTGCACCCGCGACTGGGGGTTCCCGCCAAAGGTGCTCAACGTGGACTACTACAACTACGGCGACCCCGAGGGCTCCGTCTTCCAGGTCCAGGCCAAGATGAATAACGTCACGTACACGCGCGAGTGCTGTGGCAAGGTTACCGGCGCGTCGCCTGGAAGGCCGACTGCTTCGGCTTTGGTGCTGGGTTTGGCCTTTGCCTGCGCCCTGTTGCTGGTCTGAGATGGCCGACGTACACTTTTAATGTCTTTTTTTTTGTTTTTAATAAACTTCCGGTTTCACACGATGAAAGCATGTCTGGCGTTTTGGGGGCTTGTTTAATGCATAGACGGGTTACATGGAGGCCAGAGGGTTTTTACACCATGGTAGATTGTATGGTCATTTTGGAGGCTTGACTACTTTCCAATAGGATGCTGCCATACAAGGCTTAACACTGCATATACAATACCAATACTATATTTACTTTGCAATATTCCAAATTCTGGGTAATTCCTCGACTTGATAGTGACTCCTTTCGCGAGGCTGTGACCATGACTGGACTGATTGACTTATACGTGAGAGAAAACCTGGCATCCCAGACTTGAGCTTGAGAATACGAAACTACACGACTACTTCGCAGCCTACAGAAGAAGCCTATCCACGTTCGACTCCAAGATGAATATGCCGAGAGGTAGACGCCTGTCTTGCCCCCCTCCCTTCAACATTGATGAACTTTCCCGCCCGAAGACTGGATATGACAAAAGTTGCTTTTCGACAGAAACATTCCACTTCTCCCCCTTTTTCCCACCACAGCAAGAAAGATCATTAGCCATAACTGAGCTCTTCTTCGTATCAAAGTCCAAAGTTTTTTTTGTTTCCCTTGCGTTTGACAAGGGTTGAGAAGAACCCAAGACTTACCGTCCTTGATTCTTTTTCCTTTTCTTTGTTTGGTCATCCCCTCTCCGACCGTCACGTAGACTGTATTTCTCAACAGGGAAGAGAAACCCCGGATGCCGTATTGATGCAAAATAGCCGTTATTGCATCTTCCAAAATCACTCACTGAATAGAAGACAAATACCGACAGGTACGTACAGCGCAAAAAGTATACGCGGGATCCATTGTCTTTTTTTTTCTTCTTTTTTTCTATGAACACTCTCTACTTTGAGTGAACGCGGAAGAAAGGAGGAGAAGGTAACATGCATCAGGAGATGCGAATATAGAGCAGACATCTTGAATGAATAGTTCCTAGACCGAAAGATAGACCCCTAAACATCTAAAATTCGCCGCCGTATCATAGAAGGGGGGGGGGGGGGGTAAAAAAAGACAGACAAGGTCCTCTCACCTTGGCGACGGTGCAGTGCCATCACCAAAGACGGAAGCTGAGGCTTACCCACCTTACCTTGAAGACACCAAATCCAAGGGGGAAATACACCGACGAATATACACCCGACCCTCCTTCGCCTTGTCCCATATCCCAATTGAAGTCGTGATTCATTCAACCAAGCCCAATCGATCCCCCGTGGTCGAGCGGTATAACGCCCTGGTCCGTTAGTAACAGAACTTGGTATGAAATCACGAGAAGCTCTACAATTCCAGATTTCGTAGGGTGCTGCAGTTCGATTTCCGAACTGGGCACCTGAGCTTTTGCCCCCCTTTTTTTTGTTCTGTGTCTTTTCGGTGCCTTCCTTCCCCAAAGTGGTACCCTGTTACTTTTCAGTCCCTCTATGCAAGAAGGCACGCACACGCCCATTTGATACCCTCGGAAACCAGGCTTTCGATACCTACTCCCTCTCCTTTTGTGAGAATCCCCCATCAACTAAGAAAAACGCACTTGGGGAGACGCTCACATAGATAGGTAGCACCTGAGACAACTAAGCCAATACTCTCCTCACTCGGACAAGATGGTCCA